CGGTGTTGTTTTGATGTCTGAGAGTAAGTTTATATCTATATTATACTAGCCACTAATTATAAATAATTTTATAGCTAGTTAAACCTGCCAAAAACATTTTGTGTAATAGGTGACTAAGCGGTAAAAACGCGAAAATCTCAGCACAGGGCGGTAGGTGCACTGTTAACAGGCAGCGTTGAACGTGTTAAGCTATCAGCACACATTGCACGCACTTACATCGATTACGGGGACAGTTTGCGTCAGAGTCAGTTGCACATGAACGCTAGGAACGACAGGTCTGCCTAATATAACCCTGATCGATTGACGTGGGGCATCACGTGTCAGCATCGTTATATGACACCACCGTTATGATTATGACATGCGTTCACATGATAACGGAATATATCAATTACCCATGCATTTCCACAGCTTTACATAAACATTTCCACGGTGAGTGCCAAGATGGTGGCTTACGAGATGTTGAGTGTCAGAATACGGCTGGCACGGTGACCGCGCAACCTCGACACAGTCTGAGCATGACATAACCTCTACCTAAGCATGACATAACATCTACCTTAAGCATGACATAACCTCTACCTAAGCATGACATAACATCTACCTTAAGCATGACATAACCTCTACCTAAGCATGACATAACATCTACCTTGAGCATGACATAACCTCTACCTGAGCATGACATAACATCTACCTTGAGCATGACATAACATCTACCTTGAGCATGGCATAGCTTCTACCTGAGCATGATATAACATCTACCTGAACATGAAATGACATCTACCTGCGCATGAAAGCAACGGAACCTTTAATGCAACTAACGTGGTTGATTCGGTATATTCGGGCGAATACAAAAACATCAGTGAAGAGTGACGCATTTCCTCTGTGATTATTGCTCACTGAGATTTCCCTGAGCTTTGGGCTTTCAAGCATACAACAACGGAGCCAAATAATCCAAGAAATGTGTTATTAATAGGATATAACCTTAATATGGCGACAACAGAGATTACCAGCGGTAGAATGTGGCTAAAGAATACCATCGCTGATATGGTGTACATGGTCAATATGATATGGTATCATATTGTCGCCATGAACAGCAAGCAATTGCCTATTAGTGTCACGTTAGACCCGGGCAGTCATTCTTCTTGCCCTGTAGGGACTCTCAACGGATGAATGGAAACTGCGTATCAGTTATCCTATTGAAACGAACGTGTGGCTATATTATTATTCTTGGTCTATCTAACGACTTATCCTACAATTTGCAATGTTGTATGTAGCACCATTATATAAATGTGAGATGAATATATGTCATGATCAGAACCAAGCTCGTGACAAACAAATGCGATAGCCCGTTATAATAAACGCGCCAGCTTCCACAGCTTTGTTGACCAGGCTGGTTATTTAATAAGCAAATATACTCGACAAATCCGGGAAGCTAACACCAGGTTTTTATGGCACATGAAGAACAGGGGACGACAACTGCTCGTCTGCATTCAGCAGGCAGGTTCATCTTGCTCCTAGGAGTCTTCACAGGGATAGCATCTCGCACAGGAAGAGTGGATAGTTTCTGTGCCGCTGGGGCTTTGCTGATGAGCTTGACCTACAGCACTACCAATGTGTGGGCGCGTCACTCCTGATCTATACTACTGACTCGTCCGGTTATAGTCTGACAAACTCATAAATGACGCGCCATGTTGGGAGGCAGCTTAACTGCCTAGTTGTTTTGGTATACGATTGCATGTTTATGTGTACCTTCTGACAGAGACTTTACTCCTCTCAGGGTCCATTGTATGACTGTGTCATTGTAGATTCGGATGACAGATCAGGACTTCTGTCAGGATCGGATTTAAGCTCAATCGAAGCTATTGCTTCGTCATTAAACTCTCCGTCATGACGGAAATTACTGACGGCGTTATGACTGACGACAGTAAACTCCGCTAGTGACGGAAATTTAGACGTTTGGTACTCGATCAATTCTACGCGCAATCCAGCGTTTGTTCAGCTACAGGTTTACCTGCACGGACCCAGGTCACATCCCCCTGCCTGGAGGTGCGCTGGCAATCACGACTATTAGATTGCTTTACCACTATGCAATCACTCCACGAAGACGACCAGGGGGTGGGGAGAAACATTACACTATATAAATATAGCTCAAAATGTTTCGGTCCTTTTATATGTTTACAGCTGAAGAGAGGGGCAGACGCAGAGAGAGAGAGACAGAGAGAGAAAGAGACAGATAAAGAAAGAGAAAGAAAGATAGAGGAGGGGGAAACAGACAGCAAAGGAAAGGTTAGCCTTCTGAGATTAGGCAAGTTACTTAATCCACCTGCTGTAAATCCTATTGACACTACATCTCGTAAGCGAGCAGACGCTCTGCATGGCTTACAATTATCGATTAAATCCTAACACAAATGAAGCTGTATAAAGCTGTCTGGTTCGCAGCCGGCAGGTATACATACTAGCACAGCTTTAGTGAAGCGAGTTCCGTATAATGTGAACGCTAGTGCTGAGCATAGTTATTGAGCATATTAACTGACCGTTATATACATCGTCTATTATATACATGGATATGTCGTACACGCGCGTGCCAGGCAAATGCACACACATACACACACACGCACGCACGCACACACACACACACACACACACACACACACACACACACACACACACACACACACACACACACACACACACACACACACACACACACACACACACACACACACACACACACACATACACACCCACGCACACACGCACGCACGCGCGCGCGCACACACACACACGCACGCACGCACGCACGCACGCACGCACGCACGCACGCGCGCGCGCACACACACAGAGAAACAGACATAGTGAGACCGTGTAGGTTGTTTCCCCACGCGCATTCCTACTCTTGGCTTTTCACAGAGTAATGCGACAATTTTCCACCGACATGATGACCTTCCCTGTTTATTCTGCGTGAGAATCCACCGGAAATCGATAGCATCACAGCGACATACTCATTTCACCAGCAATTAGCGTAACTATATATGCAATAGCAAAGTCTGTAAAGTCAATATGCTACACGCAACCACCAAAGTCGGTGCCAATAACGATGGCTAATAATATACCTATATCCTATTAAGAAAATTACACAACAGGTGCCACCGTGACAAGTCTATCTAAATACAGTGGCGCGCAATACGGGTAAATGAGCCTTCTAGAATTCGGAAGAAATTCTTCGCAGAAAATGATAGGTCTCTCTACCTTCTCTTTTTTTTTCTCTGCGCGCGCTCTCACTCGCGTTCTCTTGCTCTCTGTAGTAAGCTATTTTGCCCTACTTAAGGGACTGCCGCCTGCATGCATCAAGCCAATTATTATTAGCCTATAGTACTCTAAGCCGCAGGCATTATCCGAGAGAAGAGTTCTTATTTCTTGGCTCGATTCACTCAGAATCGGAAATAAAACCCCTATTGCGGCTTTATTATTTTGGGCGTTCGGCTAAGAAGCCCTAAGAAACCCTAAGAAGATACCCTAAGGACGGCTTGCCGTTTTCAAGAAAATTTTCCTATTCATGATAACGCGTTATGCGTGTTAACTATACATTATGGTTTCTTTGTGCTGAATAATGTTACTGGTCTGCATCCCTGTAGCCTCCGGAAGAAAGGAAGAAGCGTAATAGATAAATCAGCCATCGCTATAATTTTTGTTTTATCCGTCTGGGTTTCTCGTGGCCACGAATTAGTAATATTAAATTCGCGTGGCTGTGAGTATTGATAATATGTCACGGCTAGGCCATGTGATCCTATTCTTTAAGTGGTAACCACGAGAAAACGTGTCGTAGCCACGAGAAAACGTGTCGTAACCACGAGAAAACGTGTCGTAACCACGAGAAAACGTGTCGTAGCCACGAGAAAACGTGTCGTAACCACAAGATGTGTCGTAGCCACGAGAAAACGTGTCGTAACCACGAGATAATGTGTCGTAGCCACGAGAAAACGTGTCGTAACCACGAGATAATGTGTCGTAGCCACGAGAAAACGTGTCGTAACCACGAGATAATGTGTCGTAGCCACGTGATAACGTGTCATAACCACGTGATAACGTGTCATAACCACGTGATAATGTGTCACAACCATGTGATAACGTGTCATAACCACGTGATAATGTGTCATAACCACGAAGTAACGTGTCGTAACCACGTGATAACGTGTCATAACCACGTAATAATGTGTCACAACCACGTGATAACGTGTCATAACTACGTGATAACGTGTCATAACCACGAGAGAACATGTTCTAGGCACGAGATAACATGTCGGGCGGTTAGATAATTAGTATTTCATCCGTGTTCTCCCAATGATCCCGTCAAGCATGACCTGCGTGTGCCTATCCTCGGCTATAGCAATAACGAGCAATTATTGTAGCGTGCGCGGTGCTGCGGGGTTTAATATGCTTGTTAATTCTCTTGTGAAGCGCAGCAAAGCTGCAATGAGCTGTTACTCTGACGCTGATTCGTGCTCAGAGCCGGTTTACACAGGTAGTAATTGTTTCGGAAATGCAGCGCGGAGTTCAACTTACACGTGCAGCGTTGTTGCTACGCTGTTCTTCGAGAGCTGTTACAACACGCCAACTATAGCTGTTTTTTATATAGCGTGAAGATCTTCATAACTAATGGGCATTCTAGTATTTGATATATATATTGATATTTTTTAGATTAAAACCGAACCGAGATTTTTGTGTCGTAACTGTGCTCTTCCAGGGCTTACGAGAGTAATGCGGTGGTAATCTTGAAAATCTTAAGCGAACTTTTATGAAGCGAAAACGTGATTATCATTAAATTAAATCGGGAAAATATTAGGCGTTCATGAATCTAACATGTACGCCTATGTTGCGTTTACTTCAATAATTAACACCTAATTTAAGCGAAAACACAATAAAACATAACAGTATTGTCTGCTAGTAACAGTAACACAAGAGCAACGAGATGTATAAAAACATGTTTACAGAGCACGAACTAATGACATAAAAGATCGTCGAAAGCTGGCTCTTATATATGTCAAAGAGCCTATATTGATGTGTGTGTGTGTGTGTGTGTGTGTGTGTGTGTGTGTGTGTGTGTGTGTGTGTGTGTGTGTGTGTGTGTGTCGTGGTCGTCGGTCGGTCGTCGGTCGGTCGGTCGGTCGGT